GTTGCTTTTTATTGAAAACATTAACCAATGGCAATCAATACCGCATTAAACAGAAGTAACTGCAGCTGCTTGCCAATCAATTCTGATTGTAAAGTACCTTACCATTAATATAAAAGTGTATTACATAATTTTTAGAAGTCGTTAAACCCATGTCAAGAAGCGGCACAAGTGGCACAAAGGGATAAGGAGGGTGGATGATTACCCGGTTCGTCTACCCATCACAACATATCGTGTGAACATATTACTGACAATTTGATAATTTAATTAATAGTCTATATTTTACGGATACTATGTTAAAATAAATGTTACTGGAATAATTTGAGGAATGTTTCATTTGCATAGAACGTGTTGTCTTTCTTAATGCCGTAATGCACCTTCGCGTGAAGTGGAAAATCGATTCCTGAGCAATCGATGCCAACTAATTCAGCACCTTCACTTGGGACAGCGCCTCTGTAACGTTGAACGTAAGAGGCAGCGTGTTAAGAAGCTTCCTAAGGGACACTTCGGGGAACACACTTAGGAACATAAACAACTTTGGTAAGATATATCTTTCGAGTCTTCTTAGCGCGCTTAGAGTGAGCGTTATCGGGGAACCGGGCCCGTGACCTTCTTCAGCGCTGCATTAACGGATTCTAGGACTTCGATGTATATATATTAAAGCTGTTTTTAAATTTTACCGAATTATCAAATAAAATGCAAATTATAATCGGGCCTGTTTTAGGCTTTTCCTTATTTTTATATTTTAGACATCCATTTAGACGTGGGCGGAGTTAGTGTAAATAGCCTCTGCCAACAAGGCGGGCTATTTGCACTTAGTGTAAATAGACACTCCGTTTTTTAAGATCCCTATTTTAAAATCCCCTTTCTCAAATTAGGCTGTTCTGAGATTCCTGTCAGAATGACGTAGTTCTGCAGAGGCCGCTCCCACGATAGTTGATTGACAAGGCCGTCTTACCTTACACTCCGCTGCAGGGTAAGACAAGACTGTCTCAGATTAAGCGATTAAGGTGTTTTGTTGTTGGATGTAATAATGAATTTAGCAGTCGTCATTTACTCCTGACATCTGGGCCGCTGAAGACGCAGAGGATTAATGTTACTTTCGTTTTGAAGGGAATGCGCTGATCACCGATCTGCCTAAATGCGTGTATATGTTCGCGCGAAGTGAGTATAAGGCTTTTTTATGAATCTTTGCAAATTGCCTTTCCTAATATGTGCTAGTAAGCAAGTTTCGTGGCTAAAGTAAACAGTACTGCTCATATAAACTTATATCAAACGGACATCGGATGACCCCTTTAAAAGACTCCGAAAAAACAGTCGTTAGAAAAGGAGCGATCTGTGCAGAGAATTTTTTTATAAAACTCTCACTGAAAACTATCTGGGGTCTTGGGCATTTCCCAGATTGTAGGGAAACAATGGCAGCTACTACCTCCTCCTGTGAAATTGGCTCTTCTAAAAGATTATGAACATCAGAAGATTAGGTGGGGACATTTAATCGACCAGGAAAATATTCAACATCCCCCCACAGAAAGGAGTTAGAGACATACAAAGTAGAGAAAGAAAAAACAAAATTTAAAGCTGTATTACACTTTAATTTTTTTGACGCTTGAAACACTTTTCATCACGTAAACAAAACAATTGAAAGTAACGAGAACTACTGGTTTTTCAAGTTAGTGTAAGCAACTGACAAATGTTTTAAGCTGTGTGCAGCAGAAGATCTTTTGAGGGCTGAAATTCAAGCACGAATTTGACCAGGTCAGTCATTACTTGTTAGTATGACTTTAAAACCAGGTCAGTCATTACTTGTTATTTTCAGTGTGGACAGAGGCAACACTTTCCTTTGAGGTTATACCTGTTTCTGATATTTAGCACACCTCGGATCTGATTTGTGCCACCTCAGATTCAATTTGACCCCCTCCATCCCCCCAAAACGTGTTGATTTTAACCATTAAATGCGGACCATCACCGGTGTATTTAGAACATCCACTGCTAAATTCAAACGCTTTGTCTGGCGCTATTCAGTGTTTTCAACCACATAAAATTGAATTAAAGAGCATATGAGCAGTGTTGGGGAGTAACTAGTTACATGTAACGGCGTTACGTAATTTAATTACAAAATAAATGTAACTGTAATCAGTTACAGTTACTAAAAAAAATGTGTAATTAAATTACAGTTACTTATGAAAATGTTAACGATTACAAAGGGGGTTACATTTGAATATTTACACACATTCAGATTTAATTGATTTCTTTCCCAAATTGTTCTGACTACTCTAAAATATGAGACATACGGCCTTATGATTTCTGTGATGCGGAAAACATGGACTGGTTGGAATTCCTATAATGAGGAATGTCACAGAATATGCAACATTTGGATGAATAAATCAAAGTAGGTCAGTACACTTGAATCAAAACGCGATATGGACTAGGGTCTGTGAATATTAAGCCGCAAAAAGACTATATGAATCCTGCTCGTTCTGCCGCATGTCTCTGTGGAAATCAGACGCGGACTGATCATCGGGAGAACCGGGACCATTCCCGGTGGCCTGGCAGCTGATTTTGCCCGCTTTTTAAATATTATTATTATTATTATTATATAATTGCCTGCCAAATGTATTAAAGCAATTATTTCTGAGCTCCGCCAAACGGTTTGGATCAGAGTAATCAATGCGAGAGAGAGAATGGCGTGGACTGTGGAAGCGCACAGGTGGAGCAGAGAAGCAAACCTATATGGGATGATATTAGACTCAAATTGATTAATAGATGCACACACAATTATCCATATACTGCATACATTTCATACATGTATCTTACTAACCACAAACAAATGCCTTTCAATTTGAGTCTGTGGAATTCTGGATTAAATGATTGTGCAGCGATTTGTACAAATACAGACATGTTTGGGAATAAAAATTTTCTGTTCTGCATTAATATATCATAAATTGCTCATGCAAAAAGGAATCTGTGCATATGTGGATCAGGTGACACGCGTGCATTAATTGATAGCCATTAGTAATTGCACGTTTATATTGAATTCAACTATTAAATGAACTTAAACTAAACTATGCTAAACAAGTGTTTTATAGGCTATAGCCTATTCTGTGCTCAAGCGGATCGCATAAATAGCTAGAACATATTTTATTTAGGCTACTTATTACTAAACTGTTTTCTGAGTCAGTGTCAGCTGCAAAGATGAAGTTGACCATGCTGATGAATTTATTCTCGAAATGTAATTATTTTTTATTCTCAATATTTTATTTCTACATTTTTCTGGATATTTAATTAGTTTAATCTCGCATTATAGGCTAATGACTTTATTCTGGATATGTTTTTTTTTTAATTGTTTGGCCCTATAATCCTCTTCCTTACTCTCTCTCATTTGGCACGAATCCAAATGTTCACAATGTTGGCTTTTTTAATTTGTATGACACTGACTATTATTTATTAGGCCTATGTAAACCAGGATTTGTAGCCTACTTAACCCGCTTTCCAAAAAAAAAAAAAAAATCATGGTCTTCTTCACATGACCATCCGCTTCATATGTGCTTGGCCCGAGCTAAGGCTGAAGGGCAGCTAATGACTTTATTCTGGATATGTTTTTTTTTTATTGTTTGGCCCTATAATCCTCTTCCTTATTCTCTCATATGGCACGAATCCAAATGTTCACAATGTTGGCTATTTGAATTTGAATGCAACTGACTATTATTTATTAGGCCTATGTAAACCAGGATTTGTAGCCTACTTAACCCGCTACAGACAAATTATCATATAGTTTATAATAGGTTTAGGGGGAGCTAGGGCAGACAACAACACAACCCTTACGGAAATTAACAATGATTTTACCTAATCATGGTAACCACAAATTAACCATGGTTTTGGCTACACTAACCATAGTTTAACCAGTTAGTTCCATCAGTTTAACCATGGAATTTGTAGTAAAAATAAAGACAAATCACA